CAATGAGCAAATCAAAACAGTTTTTAACATTTACTTATTGTGCATGCATGTGCGTGTGTAAGCGTGTGTGTGTATGTGTGTGTGTGTGTGTGTGTGCACATGCGTGTATATGTGGAGCTCATGTGGGTCCCAGGGATTAAACTCAGGTCATCAGCCTTGGTGGCAAGCACCTTTACTCACTGAGCTATTGTGCTGGGCCAAGTGAACAAATTTTAAGTTAGGAACTTGTGGAAGTAATGTGTGCCTATAGATCTGTATACCTGGCCACTCGGAAAGCTGACAGGATGAATACTTGAGCCCAGGAGTTCAAGGGTAGCCTGGACAATGTAATGAGATCCTGTTTCAAAAAACAACACAGGGACTGGGGACATGGCTCAGTGCGCAAGAGTGCTTGCATGAGAACCTGAGATCAAATCCCCGGCACCTATGTAAAAAGCCAGGGCTGTAACTCCAGTGCTGTAGGAATAGAGGCAGGAGGATTGCTGAGACTTGCTGGTTGCAGCCTAGCTCCAGTTCAGGGAGAGACCCTGTCTCAAAGGGACAAGGTAGAGAGAGATAGAGCAGGATACCCAACATCCTCCTCTGGCATCCGCATAGACATGTACACACGTGCACACACACACACACACACACACAAGAAAACAAAACAAAAAACAAACACTGTTAAGGATTCAAATAGAGATACAGAAAGAGGAAACCATGTGTGTGAATAGCTAAAGTCACCGGTGATGAAATGATGGTTTGAGCTGAGGGGTATAAAGACCTGGAATAGACTTGGATGAGCTCCAGGGAAATCTGCAATGACAACCTGGGTACACCCAACCCCATTTCTGGCTGGAATCCTGCTGTCTCCCAGACTGTCCTGGAGGTCTGGAAAGGACTCCAGGTGCTCCATGGTAAGAACCAAATTCTCACTCCAGGCCCTGACAAGAACATGGCTGAGTTGGAAAGGCCTCATAGAGTGTCCCAGGGTCAGAGAATGTTTCTGGGGCTATGTTGAAATTTTAGGTTGAGAGACAGGTAGAAAGTTATTTCTTGACTCTGAATGAATGGAAAAAAAATGAAGCAGGACTTGTTGGGACAATTGGCCCTTGAGAACCTATGTGGAAGCAGGCAGAGGGAGCCAGTGTCCAGGTGTCCCTCTCACCTGGAACATCTGCCTGAGGGTCACAGTGCCTGGGTGGATCTTCAGAACTTTTTTGCCTTTGGTGTCCTAGTCTGGGCTGAGAAGAGGGTAGTTGAGGACTGGTCCTGGGGTAAGTACTAGAACGTATGTGGAAGTTCCAAAGTGGGGTATCCTTGGGGTTCAACATGGGAAAGACCCTGGAGTGTGTTTTTGAGGGGGTCATGGGAAGTTGTTGGGAGATTGTAGCACAGGGGAGGGGCTTAGCGCATTCATGGACTCTGTAGAGGATAGCCATGAGTTGTAGAATGAGGGCCAAATTTGGGAGTCCAGAGCCTCCTGGGAGGATATGAGGGCTTAGGAGTGGGGTCAGAACAAGCCCTGTAAGGTAGGCCATGTGGGTATGTTTCTGGTTGAGACAGTAGTGTCAGTGTATGGCACTAGTTCTCATCCTAAGGTTTGGGAATCTTGGTGTTCTTTGAGGATATCGATGGGGTGAGTTATGGGAGCAACTGATTGAAGAGGCATGAGGAGGAGGTCTGGAAAGCCACATAACGATGGGGGAGAGGACAGTTTTAGGGATGTTTTGGATGCTAGGGGGTCCTTTAGTGTGTAGTTTGAGGGGAGACCATTGAGGGCAGTGGAGCTCTGAGGAATACAAAGGGGGATCTGCATTTGGTTAGCTAAGAGTGAGTCCTCCTGACTGCGGGTATCAACAGATTAGTGCAGCTCTCAGCCCACATCAGAGAAGCTGTATTCTGCAGCAGATGGTAATGAATACAGAGACTCAAAGCTGGGCAGAGGGCAGAGGGTGAGTAGCCATGGAGTGTTCCGTTCTAAATAAGATATCAGTACCATGTTCCCTGCCCATATGACTCAGGGAACATTGAGAAAGAGAGGACAGAAAGAGTCTCAGAGCCAGAGGTTGGGTAGGACTGCTGAGAAACGGTGTCTCTGGCCACTTCAGGGACTCATAGCTGTAGTGGTTTCCTGCATAAGATCTACTGAAGATCAAGCCAATCAAAATTCCATCCTAGTGGGAGAGGGGCTCGTACAGCTCCATCCCTAGCTGAGGAGCTCTGGCAGTTGAAGGCTGCTGGGATAGGATGAAAAGTGGCCCTGATTTAGAGCCTGGGTTTTAATCTTTGTTTTCTCTCTCTGTCTCTGTTAGCAAAATTCAGCTGACAAGTTTGTGGTTAGAATACTGACACAGTTAGCTAGAATGACTGACAAATGTATGACCTGACAAATCTTCCCCAATTCTGTTTGTCGGTGGCAGAGACTTCTATAATGACTTTCAGGGAGGATTTTTTTTTCATTATTTATTAAAAAATTTTTTTTAATAACTACATGATTAGAAGAAGCATTTCATTACAGCTTTAACATATTCAGTAACACACTCCAGAGCAAGGATACATCTCTTTCAAAAGTGGCTGTAAATTTTTAGGTTCACAGTTGGGGGCCTCCTTCCCTGTCTGCCTAATTTAAAACCATCTCCTAGTCTCTTTCAAGTCCATGATGTAGAATCTGATGGAATATTTAAGAAAAATATGGATTACAATCCTTGCTTTTTCTCTCTGTCTCTGTCATCAAAGTTCAGCTGACAAGTTTGTGGTTGAAACATTGACACAGCTAGAACCACGTGCCTTGTATCCTGACAAAACTTCCTCAACTCTGTTGGTCTCGGAAGGAGACTTCTGCAATGACTTTCAGGCAGGGTTTTTTAAAGCATGTTTTTCTTTTCTAAATTTATAATAATAATTTGGCTGGTTTTAGGATTTTGTTGCTAGCCAATCAATATGTAAGCTTCCTCCTCACTGTAATCCAATATGTAAGGTATAAAAGATAAATGATACTTCCCTTTGGGGACTAGATTTTGAGGCTTGAGCCTGATGGACCAGGCTTCAACCTATATAAAATACATGCTTCCAGTACACTCCCAGTGTCCTGTCTGATCTTTCCTGTAACAGCTGGTGGTTAGGGTACCCATGCTCCAGTGGATGGCCCTATACCATGCACATGAGGAGAGCACTGATTAGATACTATGAGGTCAGGAAATTGAGGGGGCATGTAGGGGGCTCTGGAAGGGGTTGGGGAGGGGAAAGGGGATTTGATATAATCCAAATACATTGTATACATATATGAAATTCTCAAAGAATGGATTAAAAAGGAATGGAATTAAAATGGAATATAAAGGATATGTTTGGAAGGATGAGAAATCGGTGTTTGACTATGGGGGTGAGCAAAGGGGTTAAAGTGTTCCTGGAAGAATTCTGGGGTGTGCTATGTAGTACCCTTGAAGGCTTCCTGGGGAGATGGTTTGGAAGGAGTTGAAGTGGAAGCATATTAAAGGGGATGATTTGGGAGCACTTAGAGTCTAGGGAAATCAGGGTGGGGAGGTCCTGACTATTGGTATGTGATTTATATGTCAGAGTCTCTGGATGCTGGGAGTGTCTAGGTATGTTTGGGTGTGTGCTTTCCCCAGCTTGAGGATGTCATAGCTGAGTGGGTCCACTAAGGAGCCCAGGTGTTGTGTAGCAATTTCCTCCAAGGTAAACTGTTCCATCTTGGAGAGATCTTTGTACAACAGGATAGTCTAAAGAAAGGTAAACAAAGGATGTTCTAAGGGGAAGTAAATACTCAGTCCTGCAGGGAAACTCATTAAGCTTAGGAAGTAAAAACTCAATAGCTTCAGGAAGTCCCTGAAACTGACCCCTTTCACTAGGCCCCTTCCTCCTCAAGATATATAAGCCTTTAAGGACTGCTGAGAGATGCTCTCAGATCAACCAAGCCACCTGAAAGAAACAGAGATCAGCAGACCTGCCTAGAAGAGGCTCAGACCAGATGAGCTGCCTGGAAAGGACACTCCAGCCTGCAGAGCTGCTGTTATGAGCTGTCACCCATGTGGGGGTGGGCTTTGGCCACGTAGCTGTCTCTGAGTCATTTCTGTGTCTGTCACCCATCACCCATACTCCCGTAAGTACCTTCAACGGAAGTAATTTGTTCACCAAGTTGGACCTTGGTGGAATCCTTACTTTGGATTGTCGTTGGTTTTTTATGTGAGGCAAGTAGACAGTTGTCCGTGTTTCCTCAGAAATGACGTCATGCAACACCCAGAGGGGTGGTTGACAAGATTAGAAAAGGGTATTGCGTTAGGGTTAGTTATAGTTGGGGGCGGTGGATTAAAGGGATTAAGGTTAGGTGTCTCATGGGGAGAATCATGGGTGCTTTAAGGCAGTTTCTAGTCAGGGATGTTAGGTGGAGGAGATCCCCTTGGGGTGGGGTCATCTGGAGTGATCAGAACCTAAAAGGCATCTGGGTGGGTCCTGAGAGAATATGTGAATTCCAGAAAAGCCACAAGTCTCATTGGTGGAAGTCATAAATCCCTTACAGTGGTCAACTGGCCCTAAATTGGCAGCCTGGCCTCCCTTACACCTTATCAATGGGTCACTCCCTGGACTGAGAGATACTGTTAATGGAGCCCACCTGTTTCCTTTAGCGCTATAGATAACTCACCCACCTGCCTGAGAAAATAATCTCTGGAGAAGAGACCCTCAAGGAGCCTCTGGCACGCAGTTAACTCCTGCAGCTATGTGCAGCAGAGTCCCCATATAAGTCCAGACTACTCCCCATTTTGATGCTGATATTCCTTAGGGAAGAGCTTATCAACCTTTGTTATGGTCCTATGAGTAAAGGAACATATTCCTTGCCTGTTGCAGGTCTGGCTCTGACTTTTATTTCTAAACTTTAAACTCCTTCCTTTTATTTGCCTTCCTAAATCTAACGAGTCCTAGTGGACAGGACCAGAAGATGACACAGGACTTTTTGCTACGCAATGAAGCTTTACTGTCCTCACCCCTCCCTCCTTGTCTCCTGGTTAGTAGAATTTTTGGTGCACGACCTGGGGGCCCCTCTCTTCATACTGTTCCCTCAGGACCCAGCAAGACTGGAAGGCACGCAGCGAGGCCAGGATGGAGCCCCCGATCCACACCGAAAGGTTCCGGTTGGGCTGGGCTGTCACCACCAAGTGGTCCTCAGGGGGCAGAGCGCGCAGCAGTTCTGCCCTGAAGCGACCCTCAAACCCTGTGAAGAGCGAGGAGCCACCACACAGGAGCACGTTCTGGGCTACGTGGGTCCGCAGCTCCTGGGGCACTTTGCGGAGACTCTGTTCAGCCATGGCTGGGAGGCCCGTGAGCAACAGTCCTGGGATCTCCGGAGGGTGGAATAGCAGCTCTGGGCACTGGAACAACGCCTTCCCTAGTGTGACAATCCGCCCATCAGGAAGCTTCAGGGTCTGCTGGTACTCCTGCTGTGGACGGACCTGCACCTTTTGGAAATCTGAGGCCACATAGCAGTAATGATGTTTGATGTTCTCCACGGTGTCCAGGTCCTCCTGTCGCAGTGGAAAGCCAGACCTCAGCAGCATTTCTGCTAGGAAGGAAGTCAGGTGGTTGCCGGCTAGATCCAAGCGCCGGATGGCATGGGGCAAGTTGTAGCCTTGGAAAACAGGCACTGTGTAGCTTACCCCGTGGCCGGTATCCACCACGAGTCCATTAATTCGCCCGTGGGCGTAGACTGACAGCACAGACTGGGATGCTACATATATGGCCGGTGACCCCAATGACTCAAAGGCCACTTCTACCAGCTTCTCTCGGTTGGTGACAGGGCTGAACGGCGGATCTGAGAACAGCAGAGGGTGGTCCTTAGTGGCCACTTGGAGGTCGTGCTCCAGTGCGTGTCGCCAGATGAGCTCGGCAGCGTCCCAGTCTACCACAATGCCATTGCGAATGGGCTTCAGCAGTCTCAGCTCTGGGTGGGAGCGGGCTGCCTCCCCAATGAAAGTTTCCAGCCCTGATCGGGCCCTATTGGCCTGTTTCTTGGGCTGGCAGCCCAGGATGGTGGTTACAGTGTAGGTGGGTTGGGGCTGTCCTGCAAAGCCCACTTTACAGGTGCCTGTGCCCATGTCAATAACCACGGCATCTGTTTTTGGTGGGAGCCTGTCACCTACCGTGCTGAGGGAATCTTGTTGTAGAGCCTTTTTCACCAAGGTTGAGCTGGTACTCAGGGAAAGAACCCCAGGGGTTGCTGAGGAGGGCTGGGGCTCTGGATTACCATTTTCATCCATGGCTGTAGGTGGCCTGGTGAGGCTGCTTGACTAGGCTGACCTCTTTTCTCTGGGGTTCTAGGAGAAAAGGCTGATTCAAGCCTAGGGAGGCCAGAAAGGGAGAGGGGGTGGACTGGTGGTCTATGACATCATTCTGCCTATCTTTGCTTCACAATGCATAGGCATGATGGGTTGAGATGGGTGGGGTAAGGCAGGGGGGAACCTATTGTGTGAGTGTCAGTTGGGAGAAGTGTCTACTCTAGATAGGATGTGAAGGACAGCCCAAAGGAATGATTCCAACTCAAGTCTAGCTTGGGAGAAAAGTGAGTTTAACTGGAGTTACTTATAGGAGTGTGGGTGAGGGGTTATTTACAGGGTGACTTAGAGGTGGCTATACATACCAGTGAAGAAAAAAACCATCTGTCTCCTCCAGCAACTGTTAACTGTATATCCCTGGCAAGGGCGGGGTCTTGTGAGCTCCTCCCCATAGCTCCCCATAGCAACAGCTAACTAGTTATAGATCTTGGGGAAGGGGTGGGACCTCCTGAGTCCTGTGGCCTAGTAACTATTAATTGTCTATAACTCTCTGGGGAGGGGTACCACCTTGTGAGCCCCTGTGGAGTCTCTCCCTCCCCTCATGGGTCGTTGGCCACCAGTCCACGAGGACAAAGGGAGCAGAAGCGACGACGGGGTCAGGGCGGCCAGTGAGCACAACAGAAGAAAGCCCTTCCAGGGAGGCAGATTCAGTGATACAGCTCCGTTTATTCAGTGGGGGTTAGGGAAAATATAGTGTGGAGGCAGCAGCCAAAGCTTCAGCTGATAGGTGCTCATAGTATGCTTTATTTACATGTGGTAGGGGATTCTATCATCTGGCTATAGGGCGATGCCTAATTATCACATAGAAAAAACCTGGGGATAGTTTTATTGCCGGTAACTATGCCAAAGGTCATGTTCTGAATAAGGTCAGGCATCTGTGCTTGGAGGCACTTTCCAGGTAAGTCAGGCAGGAAGCCCCTGCTGAGAAAGGAGCCAACCTTAACAGCAGGGTTCCCCAACAAGCCCCCTTCTGTGATGGAAATGAATGCGCCCAATCTCATGCAGATCTCAGAGTGATCACAGCTGCTGATCATTCAGGAGGGCAGCCGGCATGTCCTTCCAGGGATAGTGCTCCACAGCAGGGCCCAAGAGCCCACTTTTCTCCAGGACCCCCTAAAAGTGCCCAGTTTGGAGATGGAGACAGGCTCTCTGACTCAGCTTTATTCTAGAACCTCTCCCTCACCCCAAATCTGAAAAGAATAATCCAGACTCCTTCTCTGGGTACCTTGGCCTGTCTTGAGTACACAGAAGGTGGCAGGCTGACTTCCCGGCTTTTTTTTCCTTTCTTCAACTCCCTCCCTTCCTCTTTCCCTACCTTCCTAACTTCCTTTCTTTTCTTCCTTCTTTAAAGTGTTAAAACTTTTTTCTTCTTTTTAAAAGACAGGGTCTCCTGTAGCCATAGCTGCTTGGCCTGGAACTATGTAGACCAAGCTGGCCTTGGTCTCATAGAGATCTGCCTGCCTCTGCCTCTCAAGTGCTAGGATTAAAGGCTTGAGCTACCATACCCAGCCTTCTCCTGTTATACCTCATCCACTGGACCCCCAAAAGACCACCGAGGACCCAACACACCAAAATGCAAAAGCAAAGGTTTATGGTTTATTTGGGCTTAAGCCTGGCTCTCAGACCTCACCAACTCAACAGATCCATGCTAAGAGCCCAGAGTAAGGGAGAGTGGAGCCTTTTATAGGTTTTAGACAAAGGGGGGGAGATACCGAAGATACATTTTGGTTGGTTCAAGAAGCCCGCATGTGCCAACATAATTTTAAATAGATTGGATGTATAAGATACAGCCCTGGAAGTTTCTTATTTGTAGGTGCTATTCTCAGGGCTGTGGAATGGTTATCTGTGGGACCAGGAGTCTCCGTTTTTACCTTATAGGGCAGTTTTCATGCCTGGGCTTGCTTAATCTATAGTTTTCTGGAATGGGGGGGGATAGCAGGCGGGGGTCAGGGCATGCCAGGGCATGTCTAGGTATGTCTAAAGCAGCAGCCAAGCATTTTATAGAAGCTAAAGGAGCAATTAGTGGGGGTCTGGAGGGATTGGGGGTAGCGGGTGAATGAAGAGGGTCTCAGGGTCCTACACTTTAAAGTTTTAATTTTACATTTACTTTTTTATTTGTGTGTGTATAAACATCTGCCACAGTACTCCTATGGAGGTCAGAGGAGAACTTGTGGGATTCGGTCCTCTCCGTGCAACATGTGGGTTCTGGGGACCAAACTCAGGTCTCCAGTCTTGGCAGCAAGTGTCCGTACCCATGGAGACATATCACTGATTTCTGATTTCTGAGGGGAATGACAGGCCAGCCTTGGTTCTTGGCCTTCTCCCCTTTCCCTCTTCCTTGACTTTCTCTACCTGTTCCCTTCTAGCCAAGCAGGAATTTGTCCCCTTCAAACCTCAGCTCCATGCTTCCTCCTCTTGGGAGCCTTCCCTGTTAGATTTATGATAGCAGAAAAAGGAAGGAGTTAAAGTTTAGAAATATGAACCAGAGCCAGACCTGCACAGGCAAGGAATCTGCTTCCTGAATGCAGGGAACCCAGCAAAAGGCTGATAAAAGCTGTTCCTCTGAACGGGGAGTAGTCTGGTCTTCTATAGGAACTCAGCTGCACACAGCTGCAAGAGTTAACTTGGTCCCAGGGTCTGGTATCCTTGAAGGTCTCTTTTCTCAGACAGGTGGATAAGTTATAACACTAAAGGAGACAGGTGGGCTCCACAAACAGTCTCTCTCAGTCAAGGGAGTAACCAGTTGATAAGGCTTGACCAAGGCCAGGCTGCTAATTTAGGGCCAGTTAGACACTTGAAGGGATTTATGACTTTCCCTAATGAGACTTGTGGCTCTTCTGCAATTCCCATATTCTATCATTTCCTGGTTTCCACTCTGTAGCCTTGTTATGAGGGAGAAGGGGATTATTTTCTCTAGGTACTCTGCATTTTCCTGATTGGAGGAGAGCCATGTAGGGATACAGGTAGGAGCTTCAAGTATAGCTAATAGTGTCCTCTGACACCACGAGAGCTGGTTTTCAGGGGGGAGCTTCCAGATCACTTTCGGTTCCATTGCCCCAAGTCCTGTGTCCAAAGTTTGTCTTGTTGTCAGCAATAGGGTTTTACCTTCAAGTTCTGGGAGGCAATCAAGGGCTGTGGCAATAGCCTGTATTATTTTGGGGGGTTTCTTGGACTACTCTGACCAACAACTGGAAGGAAGTTTTTTCATGCGTGGTACTGGTTTTTATTTTTTATTTTATATAGCCTTCAGCTATACACATACACTTGTACATATTTTGTATGTGCATTTTTCATTAGGTTTTTGAACTAATCCATTTCCCTCTTTTTTCAAAATTCCTAAGCATTATTTATATCTATTCCTTCTTCCCAAGTATAACGGTCCCTCCTCCCTCCCCAGTGAAAATACTCCCATTTTCGCCATTTCCTCCTTGACATATTTCCTACTATGGCCCTCTCTTGGGCTCTTTCTTCCCCTTTACCTCCATGGTTCCTTTCCACTTTCCTGACTTCTGTGGCTATATCAGGATGTATATTAGACAAAAGCCCAGCACAGAGGAAGGGACATGGGTGAGAAGCTCCAATCTTAGCTGAGAAACTACTGGAAGCCAATGACTACTGGGAGAGGGAGAGTTGGTTCCCTTTAAGGGGGTCACGCAAGAGAGGTTGACCAGGTTCCAGTGCATGAGCTCACACCAAGAGAGGGACATATGGGGACAAACTTGGCTCAATAGGCCTTACCATATATGACAAAATCCATGAAAACTGGTGAGGGGGTCTATGGGAGGTGGAGATAGGGGAGTGGGTCTAAATATGATCAAGATGTAGGAAATTTGCAAAGAATCAATAAAAAGAGAGTATTGCTAAAAGTGAGTGGTGGACTGAGTAAGTGGCTCAGCAGGTAAGACCCTTTGCTGTGCAAGTATGGGGACCTAAGTTCACATCCCCAAAACCCACTTGAAAAAGCCAGGTGTGGTCTTGCAGCTCCACTGTTGTGGGAGTGGGGAAGTACAGACAGTACTGGGGGCCTTGCTGGCAGCCAGACTAGCTTAGTGAGAGACCTTTAATCTCGGGATTAAAGAAGAGAGGGATGGAACTGGATAGTCAGTGTCACCCTCTGGGCTCCAAGTGTGTGCATGCATGTAGACACCGGCACACATGTATGCATGCATGATACAATCACACATAGCACACAGGCACAAAATCTCTCCTCCCTCTCTCATACACAAAAAGGGGGATGGTATGCTCCTGGGAGCAAAGGTTTGTGTCAACAATGATTAACAGGGATGAGGATGAGCCCTGTGCTAGAGTACTTTTCCTCTGTTTGTCCGAGGCCTAGAGTTCCATTCCCAGCACCTCAGAACAAACTAACAACAGCAAAAGCTAACAGGCAACAGACAGTACCATGTGGTAGGAGAGTCATTTCAAAAAACACGACTGTTTTTGGTAGTATAAGGTATCAACTGTCAAAGACAAATAAAAACATTCTTAATGTTTCGTGCATTCACTGGGTGTCAAAGCCATGAGGAATGGGCCCACTAGATATGTTTTGGTGAATATATAAATAAGGGTGATTTGCTTTCTTAGTTATCTTGATGTCTTCCTGAGGGTGTGTTTATTGAGCATTTACATTCATTCACCTCCAATGCCTATTGTCTAGTAAATATGTTAGGAAATGTACATTCACTTAACTATTTACTGGTGTTTCGCTTTACATTTACGTATTCATTATTATTGTTTTGTGTGTGTGTGTGTGTGTGTGTGTGTGTGTGTGTGTGTGTGTGTATGTGCGCCTGCTTGTCATGGCACACGTGTGGAGGCCAGAAGATAACTTGCAGGAGTCATTTCTCTCCTTCCACCATGTGACTTCTGGGATTGAACTCAGGTTGTCAGTCTTGGTGGCAAGCACATTTTTCCACTAAGCCATC